ACTGGTAGCTCACACCTATCAGCCTAGTCACTCAGGAGTCTGAGATCTAGAGGATCAAGGTTCAAAGACAACCCAAGAAGAAAAGTCCTCAAGACTCTCTAATTAACCAACAAAACGTAGAACTGGAGCCAGGTGCTGGTGGCTCACACCTGTAATCCTAGCCACTCAGGAGGCTGAGATCTGAGGACTGTGGTTCAAAGCCAATCCAGGCAGGCAAGTCCATGAGACACTTTTTTTAATTTTTACTTTTTAAGTTTTTTTTTTTTTTTTTTGTCAGTCGTGGGCCTGAACTCTGGGCCTGGGCACTGTCCCTCAGCTCTTCAGCTCAAGACTAGTGCTCTACCACTTAAGCCACAGCGCCATCCCGGCTTTTTCTGCTTATGTGGTACTGAGGAATCGAACCCAGGGCCTCATGCATGCAAGGCAAGCACTCTACCACTGAGCCACCTTCCCAGCCCTCCATGAGACTCTTATTTCCAATAAACCACCAAAAAACCAGAAGCTTTGAATGAAAAAGCTAAGCAACAACATCTAGGCCCTGAGTTCAATTCCTAGACCCAATACACACACACACACACACACACACACACACACACACACCTATATCTATCTATATCTATATCTACATGTATACAGAGTATATCTACCTATATATAGAGTATTGATGTACTGAGCAGAAAAACTTAGGGGTTAGAAAAGGGGCTGAAGAAAGCAAATTCAGAACAAAATGGAGTTGGCAGGTTTAAATTTGCTTTCTTATCCAGTTAAAGCAGAAGGGACTTTCTTATCTAGTTACCCACAACGGGCCTGCTTCAGGCTATGAGCACATTGTGCCCCTTAGTCAGGATCCTACATTACCCTGGCTACACCCCCCCCTCTGACCCCACCCATTAACCCTCCCCTGCCCCTTATCCCCCTCCCCGTCAAGACCTCTTGGAACTATTTCCTACTAGTGTCAATCTGTAACATGAGTGACTCCATTTTTAGTCTGGTCTGTCAGGACCTATTGCCGAGGTCAGATTGAACTAATGACTCCTATAAATCTTCTGAACTCTCTATAAAGGGGACTTACTTGCTCATATAACAAGAGGAGATTCTCATAAAGAACAGGCCATGGAATGATTCAGAAGCTAAAAGTAGCCAGGCTTACACCTGTCATCCTAGTTACTCAAGAGGCTGAGATCTGAGGATCACAGTTCCAAGCCAGCCCAGACAGGAAAGCCTATGAGACTCCTATCTCCCACTAACCAACAAAATGCTGGAAGTAGAGGTGTGGCTCAAGTGGTAGAGCACCAGCCTTGAGCAGAAAAAGCTAAGCAAGAGAGTGAGACCTTGAGTCCAAGCCCCTGAACTAAGTAAGAGGGAGGAAAGAAGGGAGGGAGGGAAGAAAGAAGGAAGAGACAAAGGAAAGAACGGAAGAAAGAAAAAAAGCAGGTAGGGAATCATTTCATTATGTTTTCAACTTAGACTAGGGTAGAGAGATGGTCACAGACTTCCCGTAGGAAATAAACGAACAAACTGAAACTGGGCATTTTAAAGCATACCTGTAATCTCAGCACTGAGGAGGCAGAAGCAGGAGGAACACAGTTGGAGGATAGCCAGGGCTACATCACAAGTGATTTCCTAGCATTGAAAAGTAAAATCCACCACCCAAACAAACCAGAATGAAGGCTGGAGTGGTGCATTGCACGGTAGAATGTTCCAGAAAAGAACAGAAAGTAGCTGGGCACTGGTGGCTCACATCTGCCATCCCAGCTACTCAGGAGGCTGAGATCTGAGGATCATGTTTTGAAGCCAGTCTGGGCAGAAAAGTCTGTGACTCTTCCTTTTAATGAGCCACCCAAAAAGCTGGAAGTGGAGCTGTGGCTCAAGTGGTGGAGAATTAGCCTTGAGCAAAAGAAGCTGAGGGACAGCTTCTAAGTTCAAATCCTAGGACCAGTGCGTGTGCACACACACACACACACACACACACACACACACACACACACACACACACAGAACAGAAACTGCCATATTGCACAGAGGTATAGAGAAATTGTTCTCCCTAAAACGTCAGTGTGTGGAAGGGTGTGAATGAACAGTTGCAGTAAACACCAGATTGTCAAAGTTAAATAACAGCTCATGCATCCATTTGATCAGAGCTAAAACCCTAACTCAGTGGCTGAGTTAGGGTGAGTTACTTCATCCTTTTCAATGTTAGTTGCATTATCTTAAAACAGATTGTACCCGGAACCAACCATTCCCACCTATAATCCGAGCTATTCAGGAGGCTGAGAGTGGAGGATTGCAGTTCAAAGCCAGCCTGGGAAAGACAGTTCATGAGACTCTTATCTTCAAGGAACCACCCCCCCAAAAAAAAGCTGGAAGTAGAGCTGAGGCTCCAGTGGTAGAACTCACGCTCAGGAACAGCGCCCAGGCCTGGAGCTTGAGCCCCAGAACCAGAACAAACAAACAGATGACGCGAGTCCCTGTGTCCTAGAGTCTTTTGTTTGTTGGATGTGTGATGGTATTAGGACTTGAACTCAGGGCCTCATATTCTTACTTCCCTTTTTTGACCAAGCCTGGGGCTCTATCATTTGAGCCACAGCTCCACTTCTGGGTTTTTGCTGGTTCACTGGAGATAAGAGTGCTGGCTTCTAACTTAGATCCTCAGATCTCAGCCTCCTGAGTAGCTGGGATGACAGGTGTGAGGCCTGGGCACCCAGCCAGCCTAGTCTTTTTGAGAAGGCGGTGGCAGTCAGCTAGCCCTGCTAGTAGAGTATTAGCCAGAAAGGTGAAGAAATAGTGGAATTTCTAAGTTGGGGCACAGGGCTTGTGTGGATATTAAAGAAAGGTTGGGGTTGGAAAGGTGGCTCAGTGGTAGAATGTTTGCCTTGAATGCATGAGGCCCTGGGTTCGATTCCTCAGCACCACTTTCGAAAGTGGCACTGTGGCTCAAGTGATAAATCGCTAGCCTTGAGCTAAAGAGCTGAGGGACAGTGCCTGGCCTGGGCACCAACTAAAAAAAAGGTGAACATGTGGAAAATGAGCTGGTCCATGGCTTGGGCAGTGGTCAAGTGGCAGAGCAGTTCACTGATGGATGCAATACAAAATTGACTGTGGGTTTTAGGGCAAACGGTGAGACTCTGTATGTTTGTTTTTCGTTGATTGTGGGGTTTGAACTCTGGGCCTGGGTGTTGTCCCTCAGCTCTTCAGCTCAAGGATAGTGCCACTTTGAGCCACAGCACCAGTTCCAGTTTTTGGTTAATTGGAGGTAAGAGTCTCACAGATCTTCCTGCCCAGGTTGGCTTTGAAGCATGATCCTTAAACCTCAGCCTCCTTGAGCAGCTAGAATTACAGATGTGAGCCACCAGTGCCCAGCAACAGTGAGATTTTGTATCTGGGGTGCCCATGGGATGTTGGCAGTGCCCAGCAGGTGCCAGGCAGGTTACACCTGGATTTAGGTGGTTTTGGATGTCAGGTAGGCTAAGAAGAATAAACATATGGACTAATATCTCCAGCCAAAGGTGGGGAGGGTGCACTGGCCTAGGGGAAATGAAAAGGAGCCAGGCCTGAGCCCTGAAGCTTATTTATTTAGTGCTAGTCTTAGGGCTTGAACTCAGAACGTGGGCCCTGTCCCTAAGCTTTTATTTATTTACTTATTTGCCTGTCCTGGGGCTTGAACTCAGGGTGTGGGTGCTATCCCTGAGCATTTTTGCTCAAGGTTAGCAGTCTTCCACTTGAGCCACATTTCCACTTCCTGCTTTTTCTGTGATCAATTGGAGGTAAGAGTCTCACAGACTTTCCTGGCCAGGCTGGCTTTGAACAGTCATCCTCAGACCTTAGCCTCTTGAATAGCTAGGGTGACAGGTGTGAGCCACCAGCACCTGGCTCTAAAGCATATTTATGCCTTGAACATTTGAACATTTGATGGATGAATGGAGGAAGGGGCAAGCAGAGGAGATTTAAGATGGGGCACCCTAGGGAGAAAGATATAGTCTGGAATTTCAGAAGACAAACACTCCTCCATGAGGAAGTTCTTATGGGTCAGTACCAGGAGTGCTGTGGGCAAAGCTGGGATTGAGAAATGTGATGTAAGCAAGCAGTGGTTCCACTGTCCAGGACCCCAGGCCTTTCTGGGAGTGAAAAGTAAACTGGAGAGTGGTAAGAGTGGGAAGAAACATGCAAAGTGCAGGTAGTTTGTTTTGTTTTGTTTTCCCCCTTGTGCTGGTACTGGGGTTTGAACCCAGGGCCTCACAGTCGCAGTGTGAAGCCAGGGCAGGAAAGTCCTTCAGACTCTTATCTCCAATGAACCGCCAAGAAGCCACGAGTGGAGCTGTGGCTCAAGTGGTAGAGCACCAGCCTGGAGTGAAAAAGCTCAGGGACGGCGCCCAGGCCCCGAGTTCAAGCTCCAGGACCAGCACTAAATACATGAATAAATAACGACAATATTTAGGGAAAAGCATGCTCTGGGCTCGCGCCTGATTCCCTCCTGCGTTGCACCATCGCCGCGAGTTCAAGCCCCACCACAGACAAAAAAAAAAAATCACGCCTTCAACACTTCGTCCAGCGCCTTCTCTGCGCTCATCAGGGCGACACCCCACAAACCCCTGCTTAGCCTGCGGCCTTGGCTCAGAGAATCCTGTCCTCCTTAGCCGTTCTTCCTAGGAGTTCGGGTTCCGAGACCCTCAGTCCGGAAGACTCTGCTCAGACGCGCCGCCACTCTTTCTCAGAACCTGGAGACTCTGGCGGGAGGCTCCCGGGGGGCGGAGCTAGTGACGCACGGCGCCACGCCCACAGAGCCCCGCCCCTCGAAGCGCCCCCGCCCCGCCCCGTCTGAGCCAGGCTGCGACTGCGCCAGGAACCGCTTGGGTTCCGCCCCCTCCCTTTCTTTGTTTCCCCTGGTCTGAAGATCTCGCGGGAGGTAGGCGTCAAATCCCGCGAACGCCGACCTGGGACCCGTTCTAACAGCTCTCGCGGTGTTTCGCACGAGACCGCTGCCTTCCGTCCACCCTCGCCGGTCCGCCCGCCTCCCTCGTCCCGTCCTCCCGGCCCGCTCCCCTCCTCCCGCCGCCCTCCCCGCGGGGGAATATGGTCCCCAGCCATGGACGCCCCCGGTGCAGGTCGGTGCGGGGCTGCCTGCGTGGGTCCCTCGGCAGCAGCGGCCTGGCGGGCGCGGGGCGTTCGGGGTCCGGGCTCCCCGCAGGGCGCAGGGCCGCGCTCGGCGCCCGGGCCTCGGGGGCTCAGCGTGGGGGTCCGGGCTCCCCGCAGGGTGCCGGGCCGCACTGGGCGCCTGGGCCTTTGGGGGTCGGGGTTGGCGCTCCCCCCGGGGCGCCGCGGCCTGGGGTCCGGGCTCCCCTCGGGGTGCCAGGCCGCACTGGGCGCCTAGGCCTTTAGGTTCGGGTTTCCCTGAAGGCGCTGGGCCTCACTCGTTAACCCGGTCCTTCGGGGTTCAGTGTTGGGGTTCGGGCTCCCCTCAGGGCGCTGGGCCTCACTCAGCACCCCGGGCCTTGGGGGGGGGGTTCGGGCTCCCCTCAGGGCGCTGAGGCCTTTCGGGTTCGAACTCTTCTTCAGAATGCTGGGCCGCGGGAGCCTGGCCTCCGCCTCTGGCCTCGACCCGCCCTCCCTGGGGGTCGCCGCTTGATGCCCCCGACTCCGGCCCGTGTCAGTCACCACAGGGACAGGGAGATGCCCACCATCTTCCTCTGCCCGCCCGCACCCCGGATGTCAGCCGTGGGGGTGTGGTGGGGGCTGTGGCCCCCTTGTTTGAGCGTCAGGCCGTTATTTGTGGATTGCACGGAGCGGTCTGCAGCCCCTCCCTCTGTCTGTGCCTCTCTGGAAAGCGAAGTGAGGCGCCCATTAAGGCTGAGCGTTCAGCCGCCGGCTGCCCAGATCGTGTATTGGCAGCGTTGAACCGCCTCCATTTACCTCTCTGTCCCTCACTCTTTTCCCCCAACAAACCCAGAAACCACCCCTGTCCGCTCTCGAGAGTGGAGTATGCTCATCTCTTCTCATTTGGGATGAAAGTGCTAACCAATGTTGAGTTGAGGGTCCTGTCCACCCACTGCAGATCTGCACAAAAGATTGGAATGTTCTTTTCAAGCTCAAGGTCTCCCTACCTCCCTTTAGGAGCAGGGACACATTCAAATGAGACCCCTATCTCGTTAGGAGAATTTGCTTTTACTTTTTTTTTAAATGTTCAATTTTGAGACCTGAGAACCTGTTTGTTTTGGTCTGTTCTTCAGTGCTCTGTAAAAATCGATAGAGTTTATTTTTTTTTAATCCTTCTGACATTGTTATCTCAATTGTTCTGTCCTTATTCAATTTTCAGGGGATATCTTTAAGCTATGCCATGTATATTGTTTAGATCATCATTATTGTCTCTTCCCGTGCATTTAAATATATTGTACTAGTGGATTATTACCACTTTTTACTTGACAAGTCGTAGTTGAGCTAGGGACTGGGTGGCTCAGGCTTGTAATCCTAGCCACTCTGAAGACTGAGATCTCAGTTTGAACCCAACTAGTCTGGTTAACCAGCAAAAAGCTGGAAGTGGGGTTATGACTCAAGTGGTAGAGCACTGGCTTTTAGTGACAAAGCTAAGAGATGAGTTCAAGCCCTGGTACCGTTACACACTCGCACACACACATACACAAAGTCATGGTTCAGAACTATACTGTCCTAATATGGTGGACACTTGGCCATATGTGATGTGTGTGTATACTAGTACTGAGGCTTAAACTCGGAGTGGTTATTGTCCCATAACTTTTTCACTGAAGGAGCCACAGCTGTTTTTTGTTTTTTTTTTTGCTGGTCCTGGGGCCTGAACTCTGGGTCTGGGCTCTGTCCCTCAGCTCTTCAGCTCAAGGATAGCACTCTACCACTTGAGCCACAGTGCCACTTCTAGATTTTTCTGCATATGTGGTGCTAAGGAATTGAACCCAGGGCCTCATGCAAGCACTCTACCACTGAGCCACCTTCCCAGCCTCTTATATGTACTTTTAATTTCACCCATTTGCAGCAAGTTCTCTTGAACAAGTTTCCAGGTGTCTTTACTTTGAGTTAATATACTTTGTAGCTGTGTTTAATAAAGCATGATTTTTTTTTCCAGGATATGCCTTTGAGTACCTTATTGAAACATTAGATGACAGATCACCTAAGAAGTTCTTCAATGTACCTAAACTTGGAGGCGCCAAGTATGGTAATGTAGCTTTGCCTTTTCTTGGGTTTATTTAGTGTCTAGTAACTGTCAGCCTGAGCTAGAAGGACCTTTGAAATTTATTTCCACCATGTTGAAACAGGTGTACCTGCACATATCCTTGCCAACTTTTTTTGATACAAGCTTATCCACTTATTTCTCATTTAAAAGTCCTAACTTAGGCATTGGAGGTGTGGCTCATTTGGTAGAGCACCAGCCAGTGAGTGAAAGCATCAGGTGCCAAGTTTGAGTCCTAGTCTTGAATCAAAAAAGAAAAATTTTAAGTTAAACCATAATATTTTTCCCCAGAGAAATGAATAACCTTAAAAGAAAACCTTATTATTCATACTTCTATGTAATTGTTTCTCTTACTCTTCAAGCAAACAGTCCTACAGTTAGTGTGTGTATATATGTCCATGTATGTGTGTACGTGTAAGTACGCTCTTGCTTGTGCCAGAACTGTGGCTTGAACCCAGGGCCTTTCATTCTCACTTAAGCTTTTTCACGAAAGACTGGTATACTCTACCACTTGAGCCACCTCCACTTCCTTTTTTTTCTGGTTAGAGATAGGAGTCTCAGATTTGTATGCCTGGGCTGGCTTTAAACTAGAGTCCTTAGATATTAATGTCTTGAGTAGCTTTCTATATGTTTTTATGAATTTAAATATTATAAACTTATATGTATAGTATTTGTGTGTCTGTGCATTCAGAGATATCTTTTAGTGGTAGGTATTGTCGAGGTCCAAGAAATCATATGATCTAGCCGGGCGCTGGTGGCTCACGCCTGTAATCCTAGCTACTCAGGAGGCTGAGATCTGAGGATTGCGATTCAAAGCCAGCCCGGGCAGGAGAGACCATGAGACTCCTATCTCCAATAAACCACCAAAAACTGGAAGTGGCGCTGTAGCTCAAGTGGTAGAGCACTCGCCTTGAGCTGAAGAGCTGAGGGACAGCACCCAGGCCCAGAGTTCAAGCCCCACGGCCGACCAAAAAAAAAAGAAAGAAAAAAAATCATATGATCTGTCGGCTGCTGTTGGCTCATGCCTTAATCCTAGCTACTCAGGAGGTTGGGATCTGAAGATCTCAGGTCAAAGCCAGATCAGGAAGGTAAATCCATGAGACTCTCATCTCCAGTTAGTCACCAGAAAACCAGAAGTGGCATGGTGGCTCAAAGGGTAGAGCACAGTGTTGAGCAGAACTGAGCTCAGGGATAGTGCCCAGGCTCTGAGTCCAAGCACGATGAATGAAAGAAAAAAAAAGAAGAAAGAAAGGTCTTTGCTAGGCAATGGTGGCTCACACTTACAATCCTAGCTACTTTGGGGCTGAGATCTAAGGATCATGGTTTGAAGCCAGCTGGGGCAAGATAGCCTGTTGAGGCTCATATGTCCAGTTAACCACTAAAAGCTGCAAGTAAAACTGTGGCTCAAGTGGTAGATTGACAGTCTGGGGGTGGGGGTGGGGAGGGCGCTCAGGGACAGTGCCCAGGTCCTAAATTCAAGCTCTGGCACACACACAATAAAGTCTTTTGTCTTCCTTCTCCCAGATATCTAGTGAGTCTTGCCTGGAAGGGTTTTTTAAAACTCAAATTTCATAGGTTATTAAGTAGAAAAAGCACATATAAAGATGGGTGTTGGGGGCAGGAGTACTGGGGCTTGAACCCTGGGTCTGGTGCTTGCAAAGCAAGTGCTTTACCACTTGAGCTACACCTCCACCATCAGGGTGATCTTGAACTTAGGTACAAATACTTCCTGTGTTAGTAATTTGTAGAAACATGCCAGTTTGAAGATGACCTATATTTCCCAGTTCAGGGAATTTGTAGGGAGTCAAAAACAACTAAAATGCATTAGAAAGAGTTATTGATGATGGGAAATAAGGTGACATGAGTATCTGTGAAACTGCAGAATGATCTGTGCATACTCTCAGAGTTACTGGAATTTTATGAGTGTAATAAACATAAAACATCTTTTTTTTTTTTTGGCCAGTCATGGGGCTTGAACTCTGGGCCTGGGTACTGTCCCTCAGCTCTTCAGCTTAAAGCTAGCGCTCTACCACTTGTGCCACAGTGCCAATTCTGGCTTTTTCTGCTTATGTGGTGCTGAGGAATTGAACCCAGGGCCTCATGCATGCAAGGCAAGCACTCTACCATTGAGCCACCTTCCCAGCCTTAAAACTTCTATTTTTTTGTGTGTGTGTAATCAATACCCTGTTTTGTTTTTTTAATACAGTGATTATCATAAGAGGTTTGTCAATAGTTATTTATTTCTTGTTTTTTTTTGGTCCAGTCATGGGCCTGAACTCTGGGCGTGGGCGCTGTTCCTCAGAGCTTCAGCTCAAGGCTAGCGCTCTACCACTTGAGCCACAGTGCCATTTCTGGCTTTTTTCTTTTTGTTTATGTGGTGCTGAGGAATCGAACCCAGGGCTTCATGCATGCAAGGCAAGCGCTCTACCACTGAGCCACCTTCCCAGCCCAATAGTTATTTATTTCTTTATAATTAAGGGGGATAGCATTTGAAAAAAAGAATTGAGTTTCAAAGGAAGAATCATTTTGATTGTTTAGCATAAAAAACAAAAGATTCTTGTTACATATTTGGAAGGACTGGGTTGAGTGGTGTCCCAGATGTGTTTCCAAGAAGATGTTGCTTAGGTCACCATCAAGATCCAGGTCACAGTATTCACTGCCTGTTTCACCTTCTGATACCTGTCAGGTTGAGAATCACAGCCAGAAAGAATACTGTTATTGAGGGGAATGCATTCTATCCTATGTATGTTGGGAAGGGAAGATAATTGAGAACCATTTTTTGTTTAACTTTTCTTTTTCCTTTTTTTTGGTGGTTGTGGGGCTTGAATTCAGCCTGAGCTCTGTCCCTCAGCTCTTCACCTCAAGGCTAGCGCTCTACCACTTGAGCCACTGTGCCACTTCTGGTTTTCTGGTGGTTTTCCTGCCCAGGGTGGCTTTGAACCGTGATCCTCCGATCTCAGCCTCCTGAGTAGCTAGGATTACAGGCATGAGCCACCAGCACCTGGCTGGTCTTGTCTCTTTTGATACTGGAGATTGAACCCAGGACTTTGAGCTTGCTAGGGAAGTGCTTTGCTATTGAGCCACATCCCAGCCCAGTTTTTCTTGTTTATTTGTTGTTTGTGTGGTGCTAGTCATGGGGTTTGAATTCAGGGCCTGGTGCTATTTCTGAGCTTTTTTGCTCAAGGCTTTCCCTCTACCATTTGAACCACAACTCCACTTTGGGCTTTTTTGGCGCTTAGTTGGGGATAAGAGTTTCATAGATTTTCATGCTGGACTGGCATCAGATCTCAATCCTCAGATCTCAGCCTCCTGAGTAGCAGGGAGTACAGGCATGCGCCATCAGTGCCTGGCTGAGCACTATTCTAAGCACCAACCTGTAAGGGATGCCCACAGCTATACAAGACTGAGAAACGGCTGCACATGACTTTGACAAACAGGGAGTCATGTTTTGTTTTGTTTTGTTTTTTGAGTCATGTTTTTGACATAGGTAGGAGTCTAAGATGAACAGGCTCGGACTGTGTATCATCAATTTTAGTTAGGATCTAGATTTTCCTATTCCCTTTTTTTTTTTTTTGTCCCAGTCCTGAGGCTTGAACCTACGGGCTAGGTGACATTCCTTAGCTTCTTTTGCCTAAGGCTGGCACTCTACCACTTGAGCCACAGCTTCACTTCTGGTTAATGAGTCTTATGACTTTTCCTGCCCAGGCTGGCTTCAAACCAGGATCCTCAGATCTCAGAATAGCTAAGGTTACACACTTGAACTATCAGTACCTGGCTTCCATTTTTCTTTTCTTTTCTTCCTGATTAGAACTCAAAAACTTGCTCATGTTAATAGGTAAGTGCTCTACTATTGAACTATATCCCCTACCTAGGTCATGGGTTTTTGAGACTCTGAATATGTGGCCCAGATTGGCCTAAAATTCGGATCCTTTTTCCTCTACTTCCTGAGTGCTGGGATTATGAGTGTGCCACCATGCCTGCTTCATTTGGCTTTTATTCTTTTTGTTGTTGTTGGTGGTGGTGTTGGGGCCTGAACTCTGGGCCTGGGCGCTGTCCCTCAGCTCTTCAGCTTAAGGCTAGTGCTCTACCACTTGAACCACAGCGCCACTTCTGGCTTTTTCTGCTTATGTGGTGCTGAGGAATCGAACTCAGGGCCTCATGCATGCAAGGCAAGCACTGTACCACTGAGCCACCTTCCCAGCCCCTAATGTGGTTGTTTTAGCCTTGTATCTTTTATAGTTGGAAAAAGAAAAGGGAGAGAAGGGGCTGGGAGAGGCTTGCGCACATTTCTTGATTTGTTTTTTACTGCCATCTTTTTGATTCCCAAATTTAGACTCATAGTGTGGGGGTGGACATATCATAGATAAAACATACGTTTTGTTTTGTTTTTGCCAGTCCTGGGGCTTGAACTCAGAGCCTGGACACTGTCCCTCAGCTTCTTTTGCTCACGGCTAGTACTCCACCACTTGAGCCACAGTGCTACTTCTGGCATTTTCTGTGTGTGTGGCACTGAGGAATTGAACCCGGGGCTTCATGCCTGCTAGGTGAGCACTCTCCCACTAAACCACGCTCCCAGATCTGTTGGTTACATTTTGATCCTTCTTGGTTCCCTCCTGGGCAGTGCCTTTTCAGCGCTGTGGAGCTGCCCAGCTTGATATTCTACCACCCTGACTTGAAATGCACATTTTGAGTCTGAAAGTCATTTTCAGCATTTGAGCCTCTACCTATCATCTCTGTTGTCAGGAATAGGAGCAGAGTCTCTTATTGCTCTCTTTTTAAAATTTTTTATTTATTTTTTATTGCGAAAATACTATACAGAGGGGTTACAATTACATGGGCAAGATAATGAATACATTTCTTATCAAGCATTGTAGCCTCCTCCTTTGTTACCATCCTCCCCCCTTCCCCCCACCCAATCCACCCCCCCCCCCCCCCCCCCACCAAAGTTGTAAAGTTCGTTTTCGACATAACGACTTGTACTTCTCATTGTTGCAATGGGTCCACCTGTAT